GGAGAATTGGCAAGAGTTTCACTAGAGAAAGTTGACATCAATGGTACAATGAAGTTGGCATGGCAAGACTACATCAGAGCTAGCATTCAGGTCGGTCGACTGCCAGCGCAGCATGGTCGACCGCGTTCCAGCACGACTTGGTCGACCGCGCTCGCACAGTGCAAGGTCGACGGCGTGCCAACGTCGTAGGTTGACGGAGTGCCAGCATTGCTCCTGCAGAACAGCAGCGCACCCGTTTGACAGGTGCTCGCAGAGGATTGGCGGGCTGAGCCTCGTCACCTGCACAACGCACACACCAAGTCATCCTCGTGCTGACGACTCCACCTGATCCGCCATGTCGACCTCGGGATACCACCACCGAGGTCGGACTCACCAACTTCGCGTGGGCGACCGTCGCACTCCTCCGCAGAACCTCGTCACCCAGATAACCTGGTCGACCGGGCAACCACGTCGACCAGCTGCTCCTGTATGTGCCCGTCGACCTCCCAAGTCGACGGCCACCCCAAGTTGACCTCACCAGGTCGACCACGCCCTGGTCGACCAGCTCCAGGTCGACGTCACTTCTGGTCGATCAGCTCCACGTCGACCAGCACTCCTGGTCGACCAGCTCCTCGTCGACCAGCGCAGTTGTCAGCCGACCTCCCAAGTCGGCTACCCGAAGTCGGCGTCACCAAGTTGACGCCCTACTACTCGACGCCCAACTACTCGGCGTCCTGAGTTGAGGTCGACGTCGGCCCCTCCTTCGTCGACCACCAGGCCAGGTCGACCACCGCAAGTCGACCAGCAGGTCTGGTTGACCAACCACTAGGTCGACCAGCAGTACTGTCAGCCGACCACCCAAGTCGGCTGCCCCAAGTTGACGTCATCAAGTTGACGTCCTCCGCAGGTCGACTTCCCAGGTCGACCTCTCTGAAGTCGGCGCCACCTGGAAGTCGGCGCCCGTGCAGTGGCCCCTGTGCAGGTCGACCTCCTTGTCAACCAGCTCGCCCACTGCTGCAGGTCGGCTGCTCCCCTCACACCCGACCACGAAGTCGGCTCCGCCCAAGCGAGGACGGGTCCAACACACAACACCCGTTGACAGCGTCGGATTCTGATACTGCTTCATTATCGTCACCTTGTTCAGGCCACGATAGTCACCACACACGACCTTTGAGAGGACTTGCCCGGTTAGGCCCGTCTGCCGCGACCACTGCCGCTGCTTACTCTGAGCTTGACTTCCGTTTGAACACTGCCTCCATCAGCGCCTGACACTTCTCTATGCAAATCTCGATTTCCTCTGGCATCATTTTCCGCCATCGGTGATACACTCGTATCACTGTGGTGAGGTCAATAGTCACTTCCGCCACCTTGCACCTCCCCACCTCCTTTAGCGAATATGCGAAAGCCGACCAGTAGCGAGCTAACACTTCCTTGACGGCCTCGACGCAGGGAACGCAGGTAGGGGCAGGCCCAGGGGGAAGGGGAGGGAGGGACCGGGGGAGACCAGAGACAAGGACACGGGAGGCCATGCCTCGGAGATGAGGCACGGAGGGGTGACCAAGGCGGTGGTGCCAGAGGAGAGTCTGGTGAGACAGGAGACGACACGAGCAAACACCTGAATCGACGCAGCTACCTGACCAGACGCAGTAACCAGAGGAGACTCAGTAGTCAGTGTGTAAACGTGGCCAAGTGTCGGCCCGTCCAAGCACACGTGCAGTGGGTCACTCGCTGACTCGCAGGAGTGAACTGGTCAACCCCCCCATCCTGTAGGTCAGCACCACTCACCAAGTTCGTAGAGAACGAGGGGAGGTAAAGACCTGACACGGTGCCAGAGGGGGCCGCCGGACACGGCAGGACAGTGGAAAAGTGGGCAAGGACAGGACCCCCAGAGGGGTCTGCCAGGGAGACTGCAACCGGCCGACTAAGCGGCGTGAGTGTGGTGCGGTCTCGAAAGAAGGAGCGGGAAGCACCCGAGTCAAGGGTGAAGGTGTGCAAAACCTGAGTCGACGTGGTACCTGAGAGAGCAGACTCACCAGCACCTGGGGCAGCAGACTCACCAGCACCTGGAGCAGCAGACTCACTAGCACCTAGAGCAGCAGCCTCACTAGCACCTAGAGCAGCAGCCTCAATGCCCGGGTCAGGCGGAACACACAGGTAACAGTCACCCTCATCACTAGTAGACACAACATACATGGCAGCAAGAATAGCATCATAATCAAGATCAAAGATAGCAACCCCCGACCTAAGCATCTCGCCCCAGCGAGGGATCTCAGTGGCGTCAGCGAACTGGAGACGCCAGGCGTCTGTCAGGCGGCCGAAGTTGCGCTGGGTGGTGTGCGGGCCGCCGCACGGCTCACCAGTGCGGTCGCCGGTACGCAGGACGTAGGCACAGGGACCAGCACCCCCACCCCGCTGACGCGCAGCGTACCACTCACGAAGCCTACCACCTGCTACTTTGTCCAGCCAGGTTGGTTCTGTTGCTTGGATATATTTGGGATCACCCCTGGTTGTTCCCAGGTTGATTCCCAAGGTCTTTGCTAGCTATAACTAATAATTCCTTCTCTGGTCTCCGCCAAGCGCCCCATGAGTGGCATGACACACTGAGGTCTACGCTTGCGGCTCTTGGGTTTGCTCCTTCTACTGCTGACCCGTCGCTGTTTCTGCGCACCGACACTTCGCTGCCGCCGTTCTACATCCTCGTGTACATCGACGACTTAGTCTTTGTCACTGCTGACACTGAGGGACTCGCCCACGTAAAGTCGGAGCTGTAGAAGAGACACACGTGCACAGACCTGGGTGAACTGCGCAGCTATCTTGGCTTGCAGATCACCCGGGACAGAGCACGGCGCACCATTACCTTGACTCAGTCACACATGGTGCAGCAGGTCCTTCAGCGCTTCAACTTCACGTACTTCTCGCCTCAGGCCACTCCTCTGTCTACTCGCCACTCGCTCTCAGCTCTGCCTTCGGATGAGTCCGTAGAGCCGAGTGGCCCGTACCCAGAGCTTGTTGGCTGCCTCATGTACCTGATGACCTGCACTCGACCTGACCTCGCATACCCTCTTAGCATCTTGGCACGCTATGTTGCTCCTGGGAGACACCGAGCCGAGCACATGGATGCAGTTAAGAGGGTGTTGCGCTACCTGTGCAGTACGTCGGGCATGGGGCTCGTGCTTGGAGGATGGGCTCGAGTTGTCCTCACTGGTCACGCAGACGCTTTTTGGGTTGACGACTTGGCTACGCAGCGGTTGTCACAGGGTTACACCTTCAGCGTTGGCTCCGGCTCTGTTTCGTAGCGGTCTACCCGCTCGTCCTCTGTTCTCAGCTCCAGTTGTGAGGCTGAGATCTACGTTGGGGCCATGGCTGCACAGGAGTTACGCTGGCTCACCTACCTGCTGACCGACTTGGGAGAGGCGCCTCGTTCTCCTCCAGTTGTGTACGTCGACAACAAGGCCATGCTGGCCTTGTGTCAGGAGCACAGACTGGAGCACAGAACGAAGCACATTGCTCTGCGCTACTTCCTTGCTCGAGAGTTGCAGCAGCGTGGTCAGCTTCGCCTTGCTTACGTGGCCACTCGGGCCAACACTGCTGATATCTTTACCAAGGCACTTCAGCCTTGTGATCATCAGGGTTTTTGTACCATGTTAGGTCTTGTGCCTACCTGGCCTCACGTGCTTACCTCTTGACTTTGCTTGTACTGTGATCTATATATACCTGCACCTGCATGCTTGCCCTTGTTAGGTTGAGATCACTGTCTTGCTTGTTCACCTTTGATTTATAACCCGACATGTGAACTGGCCTTGTGGCCTTGTACTTGTGTTCAGAATGCGTGGTGACGTTGTGATCCACCCTGAGCTTGACCTTGCCTTGTTCTCTTGCTTGTTCCCCACTTTGCCTATGGGGGTGTGTCATAACTATGTTGTAGGCTGTAGTGGGGCACTCCCTATGGGGTACAGTATTGTTAGGTTTGGCCTATACAAACCTTGTATGGTCCTGTTTCTAGTCATTCTCGTTTCATACTTTGTGACATGGTTTTAGAGCAGGTTCCCTAGTGGGAACGTCTTCTCATAGGAAAAAGCTACATAATACCCGGGTGCATATACATGGTATATTTCGTGTTAGAGTTTTGTTTTTTATTGAACAACTTGAGTGTTTCCATGGTCGTTTTAACATCACATGTTGAGACGCGAATGTGAGTTTCGACGAACGTCATCACCCCCTCGGAAATGCCATGTGGCACCTCTCTGGACATTTGCAGCGAAATATTCTCTAGCGCGTGGTGACAGCGAGCTAATGGGCGGGGGAAAATCTCGGCAGATTTGAAGTGAAAGAACTGCGAAATTTAATTGAAGGAGGGATTTTCGCGATATCTGTCAGAACTATGCTGTAGGCTGTAGTGGGGCACTCCTTATGGGGTACAACCCAATTAGTTTTTGATATACAAACCCTGTACTGCTGTCTTTCTAGTTATTCTTCGTTCCTAGTTTCTGACAACATCCTCCCATACTTGCACCTACTCGTTAACATCTATAAAAAGGAATCTGTAAGAAAAGGGGGGTGTTATAAAAAAATCATCCAAAAAGGGGGGTATAGTAGAAGCGAGGCCGCCCATAGCACCCACCCCGTACAAGCTACCCGGGGGTGCTCAATCATGGGGGGGTGTTTTGTCCGGGAGAATACGGTATGAAACCCCGAAGGGTTATCCCCTCTATGATGTGCATACTTTGACTGTATATGTGCGTAGGACTGTTGCACTTAGTGATAATGACTTAGACTCTGATTGTTTGTTTATGTACATAAGTCATAACTCTGTAGCTGCAATAGTCACTGTAGGATTAGTAGAGTAGTTTTGAAATCTCTGATTGATCAGACAAGAACTGCTAAAAATTCTGATCCATAAGACAGTGAAACTAGCAATTTCTGATGGATCAGACTGGCCCGAAGGGCCCGTCTGATGCATCAGGGGGGTTCAGGAACTAGCGAGGGCCCTGATGTATGTACAAGCACAATGCTCTTGTTGCTTAAATGCGTGAGATGTCACGGCCAAAGAGCAGAGTGGTGGCCCAGTTGACGGCCACGTAGAGGCGGTTGCGCCAGCTGATGACGCGTGTGAGGTACGCCGACCGCCAGATGAACCAGCTCGCAAAGCCCGCCAGGGACAGGTGCCGCTTGCCTCCCTGCCATGGTGTCGAGGATATGGGAGCGGTACACACATGAGAGAACACAAAACTAGTGAACCATCTGGAAACACCTGCAAGGGATCAGTGTCGCTTGGCCCGCTATGTTGCGGGAGAGGGTGAACAAATAGGTAGGTGGGCAGGCACAAGGCATTGGTAACTAGTGTGTGGTACCAGTGGACGCCATATGAGCATGAATAAGCACCACGCGTTGCCAGGTGACAGTGGGTTCCACAACAAAGGACACAGGTAGGGTGGGTGGCACGGGGCAAGGGCAACAAGGCTTAGAGCATGAGGGTACCTGACCGATCTGCAGGTCCACGAGCGCCTTGTACCGCCCCACTGTGGCCATGCTGCCCAGGTGCCGGTACACAAATGACTGCTCCTCGCCCCCCGCTCCCTCCCCTGCACCCGCCTTGCCGCCACCTGCCTTGCCCATGCGGTTGAACCTCACTGCCAGGTACCGCCCCTGCCTCTCCGCCACCTGCTCGCACACCAACGGGGGGGGCAGCCATGGGGGGCGGGGGGAGGACCAGGGGGAGGAAAGCGAGGTGGCGGGTGGGGGTGGTGTCGACCCAACTGTACAACCTGCTGGGGTGCTGCCTCGTTTGTACCCATGACTAACGCATGAGCCCCCCAGCTCCCGCCCCCCCAAACCGTGCCCCTTGTAGGCACTGACCTGAGCGAGGGCGGGCAGTGTGGGGCGACCGGTGCTGTCATGGAAGCCAGCACAGTCTCCCAGCGCAAACACGTCCGCCTCCCCCACCACCCTCAGCCCCTCTGTCACTGCTATTCTGACGCACAGCAGGGAAGTCAGGAGTGGGAGCACGGGAAGGAATATAAGAGAGCACACGCCGGGGAAGGGAGCAAGATGGAGGTGCTGGGAGGCAATGTGCAGTAGAGCGCGTGGTAGCCATGAAGTTCCTTACACTCCATGTCATCACCACAAGCAGCAGCTGAACGGAAGTGCAACGTTACTTGACATGTGCATAAGCAAGCACGTCCTCAATGCTGGGCGTTGCTCTTTGCATCCTCACATGCCAAAAAATTCTGCGTCAGTCCCTCTCACATTTTCCTCGATTCCTCCCATCAACTACCTTGGTGTGCTGTTAACCCACACACCCCGCTCCCCCACTCCCCATCAACCACTCTAGTCCCCAATCCCCCGCACTTTACCTCCCCTTCCAGCATCCTTCCCCCATTGCGCACCTGCCGCCAGCAGTATGTGGGAGGGGTAGCGCCTTGACGAAGTCGGAGGGGCCAACCCCGGTGGACCAGACGAGCAGCCCATAGGGAATGACGGAGCCGTCCGTGAGAACGACAGTGCTGGCCGTCACCTCCGCCACCTGCCCGCGCTTCAGAGACACGCCACTCTGGGGCCACCGCATGGGGAGGGGCGTGCGCCACAGCACATGGACGCACAGGAGTGCGGGGTGGGCATGTATGCATGGGCGAGTGTGCGGTCTATGTTATGTGCCACTTGTGAGGCAGGGTAGCAGTGCAGGGGTAGGTGGCGTAGCGTGTGCGGGGGTTGGCAGAAAATGTGGCAGTGTGTTTGCAGGATGAGCAAAACAGCCGGGAAACAAGTGAACACGGCACTAACTGGTGCCATGCATTTGAGATACAGCAAAAGAAGGCCGAAAGAACGGACTGGAAAAGTGTGAGAGGAAGCGAGTGATGCATGGATGGTGGTTGGAAATTGAGAGCGATTTGAGTGTGGCTCTTTCAGCTGCTATGGTAGACTTGGCACGAGCACAGTGCCCAAATAGGCTGCAGTGCAGCACATGAGGTGAGGTGTGACACGCCTGTCTTGCCACACTCCACTCCATGCCTGCCACTAGCATCTGCCTCGCCCATGCACGGCGCCACACGCACGCACGCCGTACAGCAGCACATTTGAGCTGTCACTGCCTCACTGCGAGCACACACGGCAGCAGCACGCACCTTGGTGAGCTGGCGAACGGCATAGGCGCGCAGAGAGACATCGAAGGACGACAGGATGTCATGTGCCTGCAGCACCATGGGCGCACAACCAGCACACGACGACCAGGGCGCGGAACAGGGAGGACGGGAGAGCAGCATGCATGGCAGAGCAGACTGAGCCTGGAGGCAGATGCGCATACCATGATGCGTTCACATCACACACAGGCACGCTCATGCTAATCACAAGAACCTTCCTAACGTGGACTTAAAATGCCACCAACCTTATCAACAGCCGTTCACACAGTTGCTTCACAAATCGTCCTCATCCCAAACCTCTGGTCTCATCCTCAGATAGCGTGGCATGGCGTGCGGCATGAGAGGGGCGCACCTCAACGAGAGTGACGTGCACGTAGTCCTTGACATGCGCGTACTTGGAGCGCACGTCGCGGCGGATGAAGTCACTGAGCTCGCCACTGAACTCCACGCCCGTCGGCCCCCCGCCCACCACCACACACGACAGCAGCCGCCGCTTCTCCTCCTCCGGTAGCCCTGCCAACAATTGGGCGGGCGGAGGCAAGGGGGGTTCGGATGGATGGAAATACAGGAAAGAGGGGAGGAATTCGAGGTGCCTTGGCCACCGTATGAACTAGACACGAACTACGAGTTGAAAGAGCAGCTGTGGGACATACACCTGCCTTGCTCAAATGACTACCGCTCCCATTTCAACCATACTTCCCCAACTTTCCAACATCCTCCCTCACCTCCACCGCACAACCCACCGCATCCGTTCTTTTCCTGAACCACTAGACGGTGTCATCACCTTCACATAGTCCCGTCCATGTGATCAACACACCCGATGAAAACGACAATCTCACCTATCAAACACAAGAACCCCCCGAACCAGAATACGATCCGCCTCCTATTGATCCGGCCCTCTTTCCCGCATCAGCCAGCCACGGCAGAAGCTGCCTCCTCGAGACCTCCTTAGCAGCAACGCACCCCATTGCCCCTCCCCCCTTCCCTGTGGTGCGCACCGGGCGTGTCGCTCTTCATGAGGTTGAGCAGCAGGCGGCGGCGGATGGCCTGCGCATGGCGCACCTCGCGCAGGAACAGCGCGTGCTGCTCCACGCCCCTGATGCCGAACGTGCTGGCCTGCGCGCCCACCGCCACCACCAGCTTGTCGTACGCGATGGTGAACCGCCACGTGCCGCCCAGCGGCGATGACGCGGGGCCCTCGTCGTCCACGTACTCACACGTGACCTACGGGGGCAAGGCGCACAGTGATGGGGGGGGGATGAGTGCGAGGGGATGAACCGTGGAGGAGGCGTGGCGAACAGAGGGGTGGAGGAACCTTGTGCGGGAGACAGAGAGAGGTGAGAGTGGGATTATCTGGCCGGTTTGAACAAGGTCGTTCCTCACTTGGCCTCGCCTCTACTTCTCTGCCTTTAATGTCCCCTCCCCCCTTTTGTCCCCCCCTCCCCCCCATCGTGAGTGCTATCAACCCATGCAAGCACCCCGGCGCAGGGCGGGTGTCACCTCATGTTTGCTTGGGAGCACGGCGGTGCAGGTGGCGAGGAAGAAGAAGGAGGAGGGCGCGTGCGAGACGGCGGGCTGGATGTGCTCCACGGGCTCCGCCACGGACCGGAACTCCAGCGTGCCCACGCATGTGGACGCCAGCAGCGGCGTGAACACCATGTGGTTGCGCGGCGACACGCACACCACGTCCCACACGCGTGTGTCCACGTCGCGCAGGAAGCGGCACGCCGCCCACCCCGACCCTAGCACCACCACGCGCGGCTTCTCGCCCACTGCTGTCGCCGGCAGACTCCCGCCCTGCCATGCCGCGCTGCTGGTGGACGCGGCGCTGTGCTCCGCGGGGCCTGCAGGGCAAGGCGCACTGCCGTGATCACCCCCCCCGCCAACAGCAGCAGAGGCGCCTCTTGCGGCGTCCGCAGCACCTTCCACTCTTCCCCCCTCCCCCTTCTTCCCCTCCAGCCTCTGCCCCTCTGTCACTCTCGTGGCTTGCGCCGATCCCTCCTGCGCGAGTGGTGCGGCGGAAGCGATGTTCGCGGATGACGGAGGGGCGACGCGCGCGGAAAAGGGTGGCCGCGCAGACGCTCCGCTTGCCAGGATGCGACGAAGCGTGAGCGACGGAGAGGCGGCATCGAGAGGCGCAGGGTGGGTCGGGTGCGGCGCACGGGGAGAATGGATCGCGGAGAAGTTGCGCGGCGAGGCGAGGGCGAGGAGTTCACGAGCTTGCCGCTGGCATCGCCGGGCGGCGAGGCACGCCGCCCCGATGAGGCGCATGGGGGACGACGACGAGCCGCACGATGAACCTGCGCAAAACGAGCGGCGAGGCGCTGATAGCGGCGGGGGGAATGAGGGGAGCAAGCTGAGGCACGGAGAGACGACGGACGGTGCGGATAAAGGGCAGCGGGACTGGGGTGGTCAGTGAGGAGGATGTGAACGACTGACGGGACCCCCGGATCTTTAGATGCTGACACCGTAATTCACGCGCTCCTCCCATGCAGCCCACCCTGGCCTTGGATGATCATCGTCACAGCGTGCCAGGTGGCGCGACAGGGGAAGTCAGCATTGTTGATGGTCCGCAATTGAGGAAACAACTTTGACGTGGCCCAGACCGCCTCTGATCACCCGATTAGAGAAGCTCCGAGGCCAATTTCAGGCAATCAACTGAGCACCCCAACTCGATCAACTGCCGCAAACACCCCAATCAATCACAAGCAGTCAGGAATCGTGACTCACGATCCCTATTGGTTGGGATTGGGGATCTTTTCGGACGCATGCATATTTTGAAGTGTGATTTGCCATATTACATGGCCACAAACTCGCTAAGGGCGTGTAACCATTTTGATTTTTTGTGATTTTCCGGACCGTCCGTATTTTTCCAAACGGACTGTCCTAATATCGAGAACCGGACTGTCCGATATGACGTTTCGGAACCTTGCCACCGTCCGGAGAGAAACATGACACTTTTTGCTAGCACTCCGACTTCGCGACTACTGTAGTCTCGCGCAGTTCCTGCGACTCTCGTAACCAAATACACAAGAAGTCGCAAGTTGAATTCGTTTGCCAATCCCTGCGCAGTTTGGTAGAGTGAAATTCGCACGCCAATCCCTGCGCAGAACTGGCGGACCGTCCGAAGGGGTTTCGGACCGTCCGAAATGCACGTTTCGGACCTTTGGAAACGTGAAAAAGTGTCATGACGGTTCGGAATGTTGGCGACGTCGCAAGGAGTTCCACGAACACACATGCGAAACACTGCGACGCTGGTAACGCTTCGCTAAACCGGACGGTCCACATTTCGGACCGTCCGGAACAAAAATAGGCAGAATGGTTACACGCCCTAAGTCTTCGTTCTCACCAAAATAGGGACGAAAGGATACGGAAATGCTGACACGCTTGCGGGGAAGGCACCTTGAATTCTCTACGAATATCAGTGCTGATCGGGCGGGGCAAGCAATGCAACCACAAGCAACCCAATCAGACCCGCCCTGATCAGATCAACGCCGATCAGAGGCGGTCTGGGCCACATCCTTACTTACCATGATGCAAGGAAAATTCCTTTCCTTACTTCGCATCCCTCCCTACCACCTACATGATAATCCCCCCCATTAAACCGCTACCACCTCGCGGCACTCGCCTCCACCACTGTTCCCGCCACTGTTCATATCGCGACCCAACCTTAAAAGCTCGGCTGGTAACCCGCGCTCCGGCCCTCCGCCTCGACAAATCCCAACCTCGGCGTCGGGCCCGTCGCGCACTCCACAATTTGCTCGTTACCGTTACCACGCTAGTTCATGTCAAATTATGTTTGCATGTCTCTAGGCTGTGGTGGGGCATACTCTAGTGAGTACAACACTTCAGGGTTTGATACTTGTACTCATCTTCCTGCTCAATGCAATCATTCCTGCCTAGTAACTCTGACATGGTTTCAGAGCTGATTCGTCCATAGGACCGCTCCGTTAGGGCCCACCAAATGTAGGAACTACATGTTTTTTGCCCTGCCCTGCCCGCACTCCGCCCTGCTGCCCGTGCGGTACCTTGCCCTGCCCTGCCCGCGCAGCCCTGCAGCCCGCGCGCTTGTCAGAATCTAGGAACGAAGAATGAAAACAGAGAAGAGGGCTTTGGACTAGCAGCAGCAGGATACATAAAGGAAACCCTAAATTGGGCTGTACTCGCTATGAAGTACCCCACTGCAGGCTAGACAAATACAACATCCTGACACACCCCCATAGCCAAAGTGGGGTGTAATCAACACAATAGGCAGGCAGAGCAATAGTTCACAATGATAAGCAAAGCTAGAGGCTATCACAGAGGGCAAGTGAGGAGGAGGAGAGACTGTGGGGGCGAGAAGATGGGAGGCGACGGCTGAAGCTGCAGACACACGGGCAACAGGAGCGGCGCGCACTGTGGCTGTGCGCAGAGCCCCGGACTGCAGGAGTAACAGGCTCCGCGGCTAAGACGAGCGGCAGGAGCAACGGACCCACGGGCGACATGCGCAGCAGGCTCTCTGGGCTACCAGCAGCAGAACCCCGGACTACAGGCGCTGCGGACGACAAGACGGCTGCCTCCACTCAACCTCCCCCAGCTGCCCCACACCCCTTTTACACACCCCCTGCTGTTCCCCTAGCACTGCTCACACGCCACCCCCCTAGTACCACTCCGACGGCTCCCACACATCCACCCCCCTCAGCGGCAGCTGCAGCAGTGGGAGACGGAGGAGGAGGAGGAGCAAGGGACGGCGCACACACACGCAGACTCGCCACCCCCAAACCCTAACACAGGCAGCACAGGGCAGGAGCGCGGGCAGCAGCGGGGTAGCGGGCGAGCGGAAGCGGGGCGGCGCGCTCGTCCATGGGGCGCCTCGACGGGCGACGGTAGGGGGCGACGCGCGGGCCCCCGGGGCGCCACGACGGGCGACGGGAGGGGGCGAGGCGCCCTGCTGCTCGCGTCGCCCTGCTGCTCGCGTCGCCGTGCAGCTCGCCTGCCCTGCAGCCTGCGTGTCCTGCAGCCCGCATCGCACTGCTGTCCATGACGCCCTGCAGCTCGCACGCCCTGCAGCCCGCGTCACCCTGCTGCCCGCATCGCCCTGCTGCCCGCGTCGCCCTGCTGCCCGCCTCGCCCTGTTGCTTGCGTCGCCCTGCAGCCCGCGCGCCCTGCAGCCTGCGTCGCCCTGCAGCCCGCACGCCCTGCAGCCCGCGTCGCCCTGCAGCCCACGCACCCTGCAGCCCGCGTCGCCCTGCAGCCCACGCGCCCTGCAGCTCGCGTGCCCTGCAGCCCGCGGGCCCTGCAGCCTGCGTCGCCCTGCTGCCCGCGTCACCCTGCAGCCCACGCGCCCTACAGCCCGCGTCGCCCTGCAGCCTGCATGCCCTGCTGCCCACGCCGCCCTGCTGCCCACGTCGCCTTACAACACGCACACCCTGCTGCCCGCGTCGCCCTACTGCCCGCCCGCCCAGTAGCCCGCCCGCTACCCTGCCCGCGCTGCCCTGCAGCCAGTGCGCTGCCCTGTCCTGCAGCCCGCGCGCTGCCTACCCACTGCTGGCGCCGCCCGCGTGCACTGTGTGCCTTGCTCGCTGTTGTGCCCCGCCCCTGCCTGATTCGCGCAGCCCTGCCCGATCCGCGCCGAGCAGTCGCCATTAACGCCCTTGTGCCGCTGCTATCGACTACCAATGCCTGCCATGGCCACTATCACGGTCATAGCAGCGTCTGGGAGTGGACAGTAGCAGCAGCGTCAGGCAGAGACTCTATCGCCGCAACAGCTTCACGAGTGGGTTATTCGGCGAGGCCGCTCTCATGCTGGAGCTTGGGATTTCATGGTGCTGACAGTATTGGGCAGCAAGTCCCGTCGACTCGAGACGCTCTTGCCTCGGTAGCTTCGTGAGTGGATTATTCAGCCAGGCCGCTCTGGTTGGGGTACTGGTACTGGAGGTACTACTGGAGGTATTGGACTGCAGCAGCAGCAGAGTCAGGAGGAGACCCTACCAGTGCAGCAGCTTCGCGAGTGGTTTTCTCAGTGGCGCGTCCTTGGTAGTGCAGAGGCTGCTAGTCTAGGTGCCTGCGAGCCTGGTAGCACATGTGCACCTCCTGTGGAGGCTTTACACACCTTCACGCTTGACCCAGGCTCGACTCGCTGCTTCTTCCGCGACTGCACCACATGCACCGCTCACTGCATATCTCCCGCTCAGTCTGGCTAACCCCTCTGGGGCCCAGTCGTACGTTTCTCCACCATTCTCCCATGTCCGGCAGCCCCTTCCGGCTCGCTTGCAGGTTTCCACCTCCCCTCGTTCACTGTGAACTTGGTGAGTAATGCTGTCCTCCGGGACCTGTTTGACACTGTGACTGCTACTGGGGGTGATCGTGTGGCGATCTGTACAGACTCCCGCACTGGTGAGAGCCTCGACACGTTCACTCAACAGCCTGGGTCCAGTCTATACACCCTGATCACTGCGTCCGCAAAGATGGCTGCGTCAGGTCTAGTGACCGCATCGAGTCAGGTGTCTGCGTCTGGTCAGTTAGCTGCGGCGTGCTCGTGTTGGGTACTCTCCCACCAGACTCTCCTCTGGCACCACCGACTTGGTCATCTCTGTCTGCCGTCTCTACGCAGCATGCACTCCCGTCACCTTGTCTTTGGCCTTCCCAGGTCCTTGCCCCCCCTCCCGCGCTCGCTTGCCCCACCGTGCCTTCCCTACGTCGAGAGGCGGCAGTACGCCGCTCCTCACTCCTTCTCGTTTCCTCTGACCACTGCTCCTCTGCAGACTCTCCACCTTGGACGCCTGGGGCCCGGCCCCCGTCCGTGGGACGGACCAGAAGTGCTACTTACTGCTGGTTGTTGACGACTACACGAGCTACACCACAATCATCCCCTTGTGCAGCAAGGCGGACGTCTGCGGTGTTTTGATCCCCTGAATCCGCGCTACTCGTCACCAGCTGCGCGAGCGGTTTCGGCGGGACCTTCCAGTCCTTGTCAAACTATAATGATATAGTTCGTATTGTTCTAGTCTAAGTGCATTTACTTTGTCATAGGTTTAGGGTTAGGGCTGACTTATATCTTGCTTGTTTGTTCATTTGCTAGTCAAATTTTTTCATACGTCAACATGGTATAGAGCTAGGTTTCCCCAGCTAGGGTTTCTACAAGCGTTTTCACTCGATAGATTAAGGGCCCATCAAATTCGCTAGCCCCGCGCCTCGTACTAACGCACGCCCCGTCGTAATGCGCGCCTCGTAAACCGTCGCCCGGAGCGCGCCCGTCGTCAGTACCCAACCCGTCGCCCATAGATTTCTCG